CTTGCAGCAAAAACCATCCATGCTGCTCCTTAGTCTAGCGTCTCTCATTGGCTTTGACAGCTGGGCAGGATCAATTGGACAGGCCCTGACTGGAGCTGAATGACAGAGTGTTCCAGACAGCCCATTCTGACTGTCACTTCCCTGAGAGATCACCAGCCACTCCTGCACATGAATACTAATACCGTCAAAATGGCCACAGCATGGGAAAGGTGGGAGGTGCTTTGTACCGTGTGTGTTTGAGACGCAAGGTGAGATGCACGCACACCGGGAATTTTAAGCTTAAATAAAAGAACGGATGCACACACAGAGACGCACGCCGCCCCCTTTATAATCCTCCCCTCTCGATGTCCTTTGGTGCCGACAGCCCAGGTATTGCAGGGCATGCAGGAAAGCCATTAATAAGCCTGAGGCAGTGGCAGCATGCCAGTGCCTGTGAGCGGGGTCAAAGGTGAGATGCTGGCTAACTACAAAGGGCCAACAATTCTTCCTGTGCAATACATCTGTCCTTTAGCTAAATCTCTGTACTTCCGCCGTGATGTATTTGCTGTAGCTCTGCTCACGTTTGCTCATTTGTTCACGAATAGCAAATTTTCCATGGCTGAAGATCTTTTTTTTTTCTTCACTTTGTTATCTAAAACATCACAATGGAATATCATTTGGAAGTAAAATTTTATAATTCAAACAGTAAATTAATTGGACATAAAATTTTATATCTACTTTTTTAAACTGGAGATGGGGAGGAAAAACAAGTTAATACCAAGGTCTGTAAATTAGTTAATCAAAATGCATTGGATTTTAGTTGAAAATCATATATTTTCAATTTAAAAAACTGTTTTGCTCCTAAATTACTGAATAAATAGACATGTGAGCTTAATAAAACTTCTAAACCTATTCAGATTTTAGATGTTTTGTGGACCTGTGATCATTCAAGGATGTTCTCTGACAAAATCCTTTCAAAATGTGGACTGTGGATGCTGACATTAGCGCTGGGGACATCTCTGCTTGCATTGAGATGGTATTTTAGGCTTGAATAGTTTCGGTGATAGGCCGGCTCCTGTTTCTACAACTTGCACACAACAGTAATCTTTTCCAGCAGAGATGGGGGAAATATTTTGCAAAGAAGAATGGTGAGAAAGTCTCTAGATGTGCAAAGCTGGCACACACAGACCTGAAAAGACTTAAATCAATGAAAACAACAAAAGACGATTCTATACTGTATTCACTCTTGAGGAAGAACAAAATAAGCATGTCTCACTTCTCTCGGGTATATATGTAAATGTGAAAAATCACACAATTTCAGCTTCATGTACAACTATGTGTTGCTCTGTGACAAAAAACACTTTGAAGTTTGTGTCACATGACAAAGCATGAAAAGGCTGGAAGAAGTATTAATATTTTTGAAAGCCATTGTACAACATTTGTTCCTAAATTTGTTTCTGTGCCTTATTTCAATCGTTAGCGTCAAACATTTTCCTTCCAGATGACAGTTCTAAATATCATTTTCCCACTCATGCCTAATTTGACTCCTTCTCGCTTGATTTCCTCAGATGCAAGAGCAGAATTTAATCACAGCAAAAACAGTACGCTATTAATATTGTTTTACAGAGACCTGCAACAGTGCAGGAGAGTCAGTGGTACCTTCAAACGCATCAGGTCGCCTGTGCGCATGCATGCGCCTCGCTTTGTTATTGTACTGTAAGTGACACTGCCGCTCCAGATGTTTTCGCTCTTCATACGACAAAGTTCCTCAGGGTATTGCGTTTGAAACAGCTGAGTGTTGACCTCAATTTGACGTGTGGCGGTATTCATCTGCTCCTCTCCGTCTCGCTACTGAATGCGGCTCCCGTTCTCTCTCATGTGCCTGTAACGCATCTAGGGCTTGCGTGTGTACGAGCATGTCCATGCTAAGCAATCCCAGAGAGTAGAAGTGATACTGCAGCCTGCTTGAAATGTTGAATATGAATGTGTGTTGGTCTGCTTTACCTTTTAGGTAGGGAAGTACACCAAGTTCCCTTCCACTGACAGCTAGTCTCTTGGGCACGTAGACCTGATGCTCTGTGTTTGTGTGCAAGCTGATGCACACGGGTGTGTCGGTGTACGGATATGCCCTCTGACACACTTAAGCGCAGCTGAGCAGGTAAAGATGTGATGAAGATGAGTGCACTGATGCCTGTGGCTGGAAAGAGATGCACTAAGAAGGCCAAAAGTTTAAAATCGCAGAGGAATAAAGTTGCGAGTTAGACAAAAACGGCGTTTTTAGATGCAGAGTTAAATTTCCTAATGTGATTGGCAAGCTTCCCCCTTTCTTTATATCAGACTAATAATGTAACACCAAGGGATCTCATCGTAACTGGTGCTGAACTGTTGCAGTCTGCTCAACTGTGAAATGTACCCAGTGAGAAATCATTTATTGTTGTGCTGAGGTTCATTTGTTCCATCTCGCGGGGCTCCAATTTTCCAGGGCCCTTCACGTTTCAGAACTGCGAGGATCCTCAGCTGAAAACACAGCCAAGAGCTTGAGCCAGTGGTAATATGTTAACATATGCAAGTGCTGATCATCTATAGGGCCCACACTCCAGAGACAAAGGAGAAGAGTAATCCTTCGACTTGGCCAGGGTACCTGGGAATTTAAATGAGTCATACTGAGGGAGCAGATGAGCGTGCTGCAGTGTGTTTGTAAAACTACATGAATCCATTACAGCATTTTTAACCTTCAACCAAAAACAGAGAACACGTCCAAGTAGGTGCAATTATATGCTATATAGTAATCTTCGTAACTGATAGTGGAAGAGCTCTATATTGAGTGGTATTACAGATGACGTGCATCAGAGTGTCCCTCTTTGATCTCTAACAAGGTAAAACATGAAGGCATTACAGATCAAGTGATCAAACTCCACCGTAACTTTGAAGCTGCCCTTTAATATTCCACACTGTGGAATTACAAACAGATCTTGCGGAAGGCCAAAGTAATTACAAAGGCTCAGGTCTTCGCAAATACCTTTTAAAATGTTGATCAGCACTCAAGACAAACCTGGCATATTCAACCTAGGCTGTGGAAGTCATCCTGAGCAGACTTTCCTGTTCCTGAACTGCAGCACGCTGCTGCAGAGAGCTGACTAATGAGCCAGTCAAGAGAAAACGCCCTTTACCTACAAGGTTAATAAGTTATTACTATATAATCAAGCATGTGAAACTCCCTACACTATTGCGTTTTATTTCCTTAACTCAAGTGTTGCAAAGCTGACAGTAAACACACTGTGACAAATGAATGTGTTTCGCTTGGTTGTTATTTTTTTCTTTTTAGTCGGTTCGGTTATTATAGCTGGCAGACATGCAGCAAGTTAGGTCAATTTCTAGCTTAGATGATTATTTTAACATGTGTTGATGGAAGGATGATACAGCTCCAAAGCATAAAGGCATATATTTTTCTAAAATACGGTTATAGCCGCTAGTGGGACAGAAACCGTAGCTGTAGTAGGGGTAGCTTGAGAAAAGGTAACTTCCTGTTTGGACCCAGCTAACGGTAGCGCTCAAACACCAAAGCGAAAAGAATCGAAGATGTTGCAGAATAACGTCAGCCTCAGCTCTGCAATGTGGATAACAACATATACATCTAGATCTCAGCTGTAACAGTCCAGGAAAAATAATTGTACAGCTAAGCTGTTAAATGCAACTTAAAGTCCAAGTTATTGTGCCCCATTTTACCGAGGAAAGACAGGAAGCATATAATGTTGAGAAAAAGCGAGCTGACTCCTAATCCTCAAGTGTGAAAACACAGTTAAAGTCTATAAAACCATTACAGGCAACAAAAATTCAAAGACAAGTCCACAAAGGGAAATCTCCTGTTAAGTGAAAGAGCTCTGTACTTTTTCCCTCTCTCTCCATAACAACAAATAAGTGTTGCCCCTTAATTTGCTTCTCAAAGGCAGGGACCAGTGAAAACGCAACAGTGCTCATCCAAATCAAATCTCAAGACTCTACTCGGTGTGATTACACAATAACTCTGAGCTGATTGTCTACCTCCAGAAACCGCTGCCAACATGAGTGAATAGAGAATTGTTGGACTGGTTCACCATGTTTCTATTCACGGCGGCTGCCACATCGAAGGGGAGGGTGCTAATGGTGTGGAATAGTAATAGCCAAACTCCCTTAGAGCTGAGCTTCTGAAACACAAAGAAACCTGCATTGAAAGCTGCTGCTCAAGTGCACATTATTCCCTCGATTCTATTTAACAAAAGGTCTTAAAGCGCATAAGTGTTGCCAAATAAAAAAATTAAAAAGACGGCACTTCAATCATGCAGAAAGATGCGTTTTAAAGTTCCTCTTGCCGTGAAACGAAAACAGATCGGAGCTTAACATTTTCACTCTGAGTGGTCACAGACCACCTTCATGTCGATGAAAGCCGCTGGGAAACCAGAAGTTTTACCACATAATCTAACTCATAAATCAAACAATTGTATGCCTCCAACATCTAGTGAGTTAAGAGGGAAGATAGCACAAGTCCATTTTTTCCCCTTTCTTTTATCTTAGCAGCTTTTTCCCACTGTGCAATCGTTTCAAGATGAAGTGCACTCTCAAGCATTTCACTTCTTTCCATAAGGTTTTCAGAAAACAAGAACTTGTGAAGGCCAAAGGATTACAGACTTGCCAATCGCGCCGTATGGCTTATTGCCCTCGAGTGGGAAATAAAAACTAATTTAACATATAAAACGAGGCAACGAGGCCTCGTAGGCACAGAAAACGCTCTGTGGAACCTCGACCAGCTATCTTTTGGCTACATCTTGACTTTATTAGACATCTACAGGGGAAGACTTTTACAGGGCTTTACTCATGCCTACAGGGATGCAAGACAATGTTATTTACCTCGTTTTATAGACATGCCACTGGCAAAATAATCCCCCTAAAATGGTGGAGGATTCTGCAACAAATGCTTGCTCCATTTCGAGCTGTAAGGTGGAGATAAACTGTTTATCTTTGGGATTCTGAGTAAAAACACATACCTTAATACACAGGAATAATACCCCACATCATCCAGTTCAGCTGGTCGGAACCATATAGAATCCTCTTCTTTGCTCATCCTTGCACCGTCAAAACTGATGGGTTCCTCGAAATCCCCATGCACTGCACTTTTGTACCACATGAGGCTAAGTCCTGTGCTCTGTGCATGGCTGTAGTTTGCCCGGATATATCCATAGAATAAAGCACACTTGATCCGGACAGGCTCCCCAACAAGGACTTTGTACTTTTGGTAGTCCACGGACCAGTCAGTGCAGCCTTCCACTGGAAAGGAAGAAGAGAAATAGAAGTTTAATCAGGAGTTGCAGAGGAAGGGATGTGGCTGTGAATATAATATCCAGCAAACAATGATTTGCATTGCAGTTAATATACTGTAGGTATCCTGGTGATAGCTGTGTAGTGCATCGATGTTTTGCAATCAATTCTGCAATGACACGTTCCTAAAATTAACCTCTGATAGACACATTTCAATCTTGCTCCGATCCTAAAGTTATGAGACCATCCAGCATTATCATATCTTCTACTATTTCAAGGGCCAAAGTCCAAAGCCACAGGTGCCCTCCTTTTAGAATATCTCAACAAGCTCACAAGTATCAGTAAAAATTCTTTGAAGATAAAGTCATAATTGAATTTGTAATGCAGAGCAGGTATGGAAACGCTTCAGCTCCTCTCATAATTATCCATCTTAAGGTGAGAAATATACCCTTTAATCTCTGCAGAAGTCACTCATGGAAACTCACATGGACATTGTATGACTGATTGATATTTCTGCAGGCGGTGAAGCATCCAAGATGGTTGGCATAGGGTTCATGCTGTTGAATAAAAAAAAAGAGCAAAAAGAAGCAGCTCTAAGGTTTCCTGAGTATTACATGGTGAGTCTAAGACCTCAGGTAATAGCCCCAGGCACAAGCATGGGATTCTGGTAACACAATGGCCCACATCTAACTGGGATGCAATCACCATGGTAACCTACACATGCACAACCTACCCTAGAGATGGTTCACTTTGGAGAGCCAGATCAAAAGATGTACATCGAGTGGGGCATTAAAAATGTAGTCCATGTTCTGGGCGAATTCCAAAATAGATGTAAGTGTAAATAAAAATAAGTGTAAAATCTGTTTTAGAGTTTATACAAGTTATGTTTATGTGGCAACTGTTTATATATCATTTTAAAAAATCACTTAAGAAAAAGAATCATTATACTACACATTTAAAGCAACACAATTAACCAAATGTCCCCTCAAAATTTGATAAAAAAATATAAATTCAGGGAAAAACAAAATTAAATCTTAAAGATCTAACCAGAAACTATTTTTCTGGTAATTTGAATCACACCTGTGATAACACAGGAGTTGTTGTCAGAGCAAAAGTAACAAAAATCTAATGCAGATGAGAGCATGTTAAAATGCATGAGGTAAGGTTACGAGAGGTTTAGTGTCCCCTCCTTGATCCGGTACAAACAATCTCACTTTGGCCTTAAAATAAATACTTGATTCTAAAATGTAAAACACATTTCAGCTTCTAGATTCACCACAAGGGATGGGGAAAACAAAGTCCCTTTGATTTTTAATTTGAGAAACTCACAGCCTTGACATATTCAGAAAGATGGTAGCAGTTGCTTTAATCCTCAACGAGCTCTCACAGTGACTCTTTACAGCCAAACGGTTCTTTTTTCCCCATCTTTTTAATTAAACACATTATTGGGATGACTGTAATTTTATAAACGATGAGTGAGACTGAATTTTAAAAAGCCAGCTAATTAATATCAGGCAACACGAACAAAAGCGTCAAACATATCTAAAATTGTTTATTAAAGAAATGCAATTAACTTTGAGATATTTTGTATGTTTACAAGATTGTTGTTGCATGTCGTCTGGAATAAAGCTGCTGAGCATGGGAGGGTTTCTGAACACCCTTTCCCCCCTACTTCACCTTGCTTCATGCCTCTTCCTTTAAATAAAAACATCTGGCAAGCACAGCTGTGTCAGACACAACAGGCTTGGATAATTGAGCTTCTATAAATATTTTATTCACCAAACAGGCAACCTGCCTGCCAATCAGAGGGGTGGATTGCACACTGCAGTCATAAGGGGTGTTGCTGTTGAAGTGGTTAACTGCGTATTCATGTTGGCGCACCGTTTTGTGTGGGATTTTAAATGTCAGGTTGAGAATGGCAAGAGTGACGTATGTTGGCAACGCGTGCGCTGAAGTGAAGGAAATAAAAGACAGAAACAGGAAACATAATATGACACAGATCGTTCGAGGGAAGGAGCATTTTAAGCTTCATATAGTTTAAGTAACACACCCTAATCATGGAAACGAATATCATTGATTTTAAATTTAAAGTTGGTGTTCTAAATTGTTTCTATTTCAAGGTCAAATTTTCACATCTAGACTAAAATGTGTAGATTCAGCCCAACAGTACTTGGAAGTTCATTAGTAAATTGCATCTTGACCACAATCTTTTCAGGACCATCAACATGAGCGCTGCTAGCTGCCATACCAACATGGTATTTAGATCAAACTACGTAATATTAAAGCACTAAAACTCTAAATTCAAACATACTGATACCCACCACGTGTCAACCACACAACATGTGCTTTATCGCCCTAAACAGAATCAAATTTGTTTTTGCACACCTATTAGCATGGAAGAACCCAGGACCTACAAAGGCTAAAATCAATCATGAGCTGGAACATTAGTTTTACTGTCCTCAGTGAAGTGAGGTTAACATCAACATTAACAAAGACTTGCCAATAAGGAAAACTGAATGAAACTTGCAGTTACTCAGATGGACAAGCCGGATGCCATCTGGAGAAAATGTTATGGTCAGAGGAGACAAACATTGAGCTGTTGGGTGACTAAATATGTTTGAAAGTGACAAAAATGGACTTTCAAACTTAAAAATGCTTCAACAACTGAGATGTGTGACGGTAGAATCGTGCTGTGGGTACATTTCACGACAAGATGTACTGGATGAACTTTACTTAAAAATTGCTCATCTTCTCAGAATACACAAAATTTTAACATTATAAAATGTTGACTTTCTGGAAAGGTGAAAAACTTCACCTATCGGATTTTTTATGGCGCAAGGTTGGCTTTGTACCAAACCAGTTTAAATGAGTTGTGTTCAAAATATTATGCCAAATAGATACAAAGTTTTTCCCTATGAGTAATGAATATAAACTGACTGAAAGTGCACAGTTTGCTTTGTTAAAAAGTTCAATTAACAAGGTTGTGGTGTTGGTTTACCAGATTGAAAGTTACAGAAACACATCTGCTATCGTTTAAGAGTAAACAGCTTAACAACATCAAAATGTGATCCACTACTAATGTAAGGCTTTTAAAAATATCTGCTGCTGGTTGGCAGATTGATTCTTAGCTTGAAGGGAAAAACACCTAGAAACAGGCGCCTTCTGGTGCAATTTTAAAATTTATTTTCCTGATATTCCTGAAATTTGTGACTCATAGGCCTCCACCTTTTATAAAATGCCTTCTTTAGAAAGAAAAACATTTTACATGTTGCACACAGTTGGCACTAAAGTGAATACCAACCATTACATTGCAACAGTTTATCTGCAGCTTTAGGGGCTTCCATCTGCTTGCACTGCTTGTTTGATTTCTGTTCACCAGGCAATTATTGAGATCATCCATCTCTCACTTCAACGATGGCAGAGAATCCTTTTAGCAACAGAGACAATTTTTAAAAACTAAAACCAACAAACAGTGTCACTTAAACACTCCTAATAGACAAATAAATGATGAACAGGGAGACTTTAGAGACTGTTCATTTCACAATAAAAATATCAGCTGATGCTCCCTCATTGGAGGTATCAATTCAGCAATGATGCATGACCGTCTGACACAACACTTGTGTTCAACTATGAACTCATGTCGAATTTCTCTTTTTTTAAATTAATCTCTTTGAAGCAAGTCAATACGAAACGGCCTTGTGAGTGCACAACATTTTAGAGCTGCGAACGAAGCGAAGCATAAAACAAATGCAGAGGAAGTCAGAGTGTGCTCTGTGACCTGCCCACCAGCACAATCCTTTCATTGTGATTAACCGTTACTATGGCAACAGAGGGCCTACCCCTCGCTTATCAAGAACTTGCTAATTAGTTTGTGGACGATAATAACTTGAAGGCTTAAAGTAAGGCGAGCGCTGCCAAGATGGTTTCACTTCTAATTGTGAGTGCTAATTGAGACTCTGAAGTGTTTTACGCTCGCCACTAATAAAAACACCAGAAAAAACAAAAGGTGTAAAAGGTCACACACGCAGGATCCAGCCAGAACATAAAGAGCTGGCAAACTGTTTCATATGAGGGAAACTGCTTTATCCAGACATTTTTCATCTTACATGTCAGAATAAGAAGAGGAAATTGGATTTTTTTTTTTTTTTTTTTTTTTTAGTTTGTAATAAAATTAGCGCTAATTGGGAAAAATGTTATTGTGTTATTATTTTTGAAAATATTTATGATATCCAATTCTGGAAGCAAGAGGCATTCCACTACAGCGAAGGGTTTCAGGAGCAAAAAAGGAGACAAAAATTGGAAATTAATTTCCTTCCAAGAGTGAACTCCAGCCAAGCTGCTTCAAAAGCTTCGCTATATTTGTCTCTAATAACGCCACGAGTAGCTTGGCAGTGCCAATATTTGTTATCGGCACCTTTCCTGAAATTGCCCATTTCAGACTTTTGACAGAGGTTTATTGTTTCTCTCAGAGAGGGTAGGGATTCTGGATAATCTGTTGGCAGAATACAAACATGGTACAAAGCCTAATTGAACTCGATTATCATTTCCCGACTCGACACATTTCCATTTGACTGCGCAGCAATTGGTGAGAGAACGCGCCAATCTGCCGAGAGATAACAACTCCAGCAGCTTTGCAGCAACTCGCACCATCATCAGCTGCGTTAGGGACTGAGCAAATCTATAAACTCCCATGACCCGCAAAAAACAGAACAATTACTCTAGAAACGGCCAGGGTCCCAGCATTAGAAACAAAATGGTAACTGAAAGTAATTAACTTATGCCAAATGATACAGGAACAAATGTGCTGATTTAATAGAAATAAACGTTTAAATAAGAACTCTAGACTTGTGTCTGACTTAACTTAAGCTAAATATAATTGTACAAAATACAGTCAGAAACTTAGATTTTGTATGTAAAATATGAAATGTAAATAAATCCCAATCAGTCTTTCCAAGGAGTTTTACAGGCAGGTCAAGCAGAGTCAGCAGTCGGACCACCAAGGTGACAAC